ACATTTTTGCTCCATCAAGGGAAAGACATCTTTTTACACAGGTAAACAAATATAGGGTTATTTTTTTATTAGAAGAGGTAAAACAGTGAAAAAGACATGATGTCATGAAATAAAAGCATGAGAGTATTGCATCTTACTCTTGCACCAACCTTTAAGAGCAGGAGGATTTATCTTCAATGACTAAAATTATCTAACAGTCAATGACAATCAATAAATTTGATACAGTTGAGCATATTGGTCACTTAATTGATAATTTGTTGGCTTATATGACACAAAGATGGGGCTGTAATGCAATGAAAAATGAAGGATATTTGACTAATCATACTTTCACAGTCTGAGAGATTTGCGGGCCTGAAAAATATTTGAGACATGTTGCTAGTATCAGCAATAGAAACAATAGAAAATCACAGATCATATTCTAAGTATCAAACAACTGTATCAGTCAGCATCTAAATTCCTTGAATGAATAAACAAGCATATAAATCTTTCCATTTCATCTGTTACTAAATTTGGTTAAAGTCAGTGCAAATAGCTGCGAAAAATATTTGAACAAAGTCCTAGGTAAAGTAAAGTGGATAAATATAAGGGAAAAAAATACATAGGAAGAGGCAACCAGAAAACACCAAACACAAAATTATACATGTTTTTTTCCCTTTCATTCATTCATTTCATTTCATTCATTCCATTGTAATAGCCAAAACAAGCATTTACTTCATACTTTATGCTATGAGAGGAACTAACCTTTCATTGTCTGCAAGATTTCTTCATCAGTTTCTCCCAACCCCAGCATAATAGAGGACTTTGTTATTAAATCTGGCTTGACTGTTTTAGCATGCTTCAGCACTGCTAGAGATTGCCTGTAAAGAAATATTAGTGAAGGTATAGCTTTAAATAGTACACAGAAATACATGTAATGATATACCACATGTTACTAAACTTGGACAATTTTTCAAGGATTCTTTAGTTCGGTCTCCAAGGATTGATGTTTTGTATTGTAAAGACTTTATACACTCACTTTCCCAAACCTATCTTCAATGGCTTAATAATATTTTTACTTACCGGTACTTTGCTCGGGGGTCACGCACTCGAGGTGTAAGTGCCTCCACAGTCTCAATGTTGTGTGCAAATACATCAAGTCCAGAGAGAGCAACTGTCTTAACAGAATCTTCATTCCCTCTGAAGTCAGGAACAAGGCACTCCACTAGGATTGCTGAATTCCTGTTGTTCAATAGATCAAAACAGTAATCATGAAAATTTACTATTAATTTATATATGAGAGAGAGAGAGAAAGAGAGAGAGAAAAAGAGAGAGGGAGAAAGAGAGAGAGAGATAGAGAAAGAGAGAGAGAGAGAGAGAAAGAGAGAGAGAGAGAGAGAGAGAGAGAGAGAGAGAGAGAGAGAGAGAGAGAAAGAGAGAGAGAGAGAGAGAGAGAAGAGAGAGAGAGAGAGAGAGAGAGAGAGAGAGAGAGAGAGAGAGAGAGAGAGAGAGAGAGAGAGAAAGAGAGAGAGAGAGAGAGAGAAAGAGAGAGAGAGAGAGAGAGAGAGAGAGAGAGAGAGAGAGAGAGAGAGAGAGAGAGAGAGAGAGAGAGAGAGAGAGAGAGAGAGAGAGAGAGAGAGAGAGAGAAAGAGAGGAGAGAGAAGAGAGAGAGAGGAAAGAGAGAGAGAGAGAAAGAGAGAGAGAGAGAAAGAGAGAGAGAGAGAGAGAGAGAGAGAGAGAGAGAGAGAGAGAGAGAGAGAGAGAGAGAGAGAGAGAGAGAGAGAGAGAGAGAGAGAGAAAAGAGAGAGAGAAAAAAAGAGAGAGAGGGAGAGAGAGAGAGAGAGAGAGAGAGAGAGAGAGAGAGAGAGAGAGAGAGAGAGAGAGAGAGAGAGAGAGAGAGAGAGAGAGAGAGAGAGAGAAAGCAAGTCTTTTCATATAAAATAAGATCTGCCTGATAGGTGTTTAATGAATGCAAACACACAAAATTAGATATGGTCACCACCACAAAAAAATTAGAATGAAAAGACACTGCTGCATCAACACAGTATGAGACCAAGTTAGAAAGGCCTAAATCCTTGGTGGAAAAGAAGAGGTCTAAATCATTATCAACCTAATATATGATATCATTGTTGTTCTTGGTTCTCAAAGCTATTTGTAAATATATTTGTAATACAATACAAATATCCAAGCACTTCTGCTAATTCCATCAAAAGATGCCCTAGTCAGCAATAAATATCTATATCTAACATTGTGATAATGCTTTAATAACACTCCAAGCAGCAACTAGAGAAAATTAGCAAGGAGACTCACTGGAATAAAGATATATGGTTTATCTCATGCTTGAGATTGTTACACCAAACTTTATACAGGAAAAGAAGTAGAGCACTTACTGCTTTTTGAGCTCTATGACTGTCTCTGCAATATGAGCTGATCCACCATCCTCTATGTCTGTCAAGGCAAAAATAAAAATGATGATAATGAGCATATCTAACAGAAAGTGCTAAGAATTGAGGATCTTGTGTATTGTGAATCAAGTTCTTTGTTTATGGCAACATTGAAAACAGAAAAAAATCTGTTAAAAAGCATACTATTAAATAAAACTTCATCTAACAACAGAAATAGCTGAAAAGAAAGGAGAAACAATAACAGAACTATTAATTCTCAATAATCACCATCACGGTCCACTGATGTGAGAACTACATAATCCAGTCCCCATTTTGCAATGGCTGTAGCAGTGTTGACAGGCTCATTAGCATCTAATGGAGGGGGCTTTCGGGAAGTCTTCACAGAGCAGAAGCGGCATCCACGTGTGCATGTGTCACCCATGAGCTGAGATGAAAAGGTAATGATATACTTCTATTGCTGTACATGACACTACTGTAGCAAATACATCTGTATATCATTTATCGAATTAACCAGTAAACAATAACTAGAGTGAAGTAATTACCTATTTCATCACAATATAGTACTTTTCCCATAATTATCTTCATAAATTACTAGTCCAATTAGTTCCAATAGGAAACAAAAACACCCACCATTATTGTAGCCGTTGATACATTATCTTCATTTCCTCCCCAACATTCACCAATGTTAGGACATCGAGCTTCCTCACAAACGGTGTGCAGATTCAAGCCACGGAGGTCTTCCTTGAGCTACAAAACACGACAAATCCTTTACATAAATACAGAAAGATATCACATGAATACACAAAAGTACAATAAATCAAAAGGTCTATATAGTCATTATTCATGGTTTTAGTGGTAGTAGAAGGGAAAATGTGATTATTCCTTCAACCAACAAATTATAATACCACTACTAATATAATAGTAATAATAACAATAATAATAATGATAATAATAAGGAAAAAAAACTTACCTTACTGAACTCTTTGCCCATAGGAATTTCCCGTTTCAACCATGGTGGGAGTCTCAGTCGTTCCCTTTCCCCTGCCTCCCGCTTCAGCTTTCCCTTATAGTCTGACCAATCCATGTCTTTGGTCACCTGAAGAAAGAAGGAAAGAAAGAAAGAAAGAAAGAAAAGAAAAAATGTTAAGACTCACTAAATATAAATAAGGAACTGATTACTTTACATAGTTTATAAATTTGTATGTAAATAAAAATAGAATACATGCTTGGATATATACGTATTGAATGATAAAGACTGACACTCTGACAATGTTTGATAACTTAAACTATGTTCTACCTCTCCAGATATGAAATCTTCCAAAGATGGTCCATCTTTAATTTTCTTCTTCTTTTCCTTTGGCAAGGTGCTTGTCTGTCGAGTGCCTGAGATGCAACACTGTGCTGTGACCTGTAATATTTTCTCTATCAGAACCATGTGGTACAAGTATGGTTTTACTATTGGGTTTTGGATAGAAAAGTGATGTAATCTTACCTTCATGTCTTTCATCTATATTCTAGAGGGACAATACAGGAAAATAATAAGCAGTAACTATTCCAACATTTTAAATTTTGCTTAATATTCATGTTGTATATTGAGTACGGATTCCTTCATATCACAGAACTTGCAAACAACTAATCCTATTATCATACTGCACCAAATAGATGGTGTCATCTTCTGAAAGTACTGAGGGACTTCTCTTATAAAAGTAAAATAACTTTTTTCAACAAACTAAGGCTTTTCTATGAAATATGGTTACCAAACAAATGTATATAAAAAGGCAACTATATTGAGAGCCAATTGAACAATTTCATATTTACTCTTCAGCTCTGATGAATATACCTTTTAGATTTCCTTTTAGTCTTCAATTCTTTTATCTATTGTCAATATAATCATTAAACCTTACACACTTTCTGATAATCAAAACCAAGACTTCTGCAAATGGATTGTAAAGAATATGCAAAAGGAAATTAAGTGTCACCCATTGGTATGGGTTTCACTGTCACAGTAAGCAAATTATGAAAATGAGAGAATGAAAAGCTAAAAAAAATATAAATATAACTTTCATTACAAATGAAAAATAAATAAGTCAGCTCTCCAAACAAACCTGCAACTGATGCCAAAACTGGCTCTTTGGTTATATGTATGTATATACACTAATACACTAATAGAATCACCAAAAATCTGGGTTGCTGATTATTTTAAGGCATCCATAAAAAAAAAACGTGAAATGAAGCCCGATTGCGTAATAGGAAAACTACAATATCCATTACTGCTAAACTAGAATAAAACATTAAGTGTTCTTATTATACCAATTAAAATCCTGAACACGAACACAATTCTTTACTTGGCACTGCGACACGATATATTTACGTGCAGACGAAAACTTAAATAACTGAGATTTGTGACTCCCCTTCATTTGATAAGCTAGGCGAGAGTTTATCTTTTATCATGACCAGAAACTTCCTCTAAATCAAATTACACTCAACATAATGCCTTTAAATAAAAGTGACTTACATTTTTCCCCAAGAAAATCCGAGCTAAAGATCGTGAATCCGCAGACGACCTCCGCAAGACTTGGGCAGCCATAGTTGTTTTGGTTAATGGCTGCTGGCTCAATTTTTTTTTCTTGCATCATAACATTTATGGTTTGATTAAGACATTTCCCAGGAGGTGATTAGAGGAGCCTAAGTAAAATGATGTTCAAAATTTGTATTCATCTTTGCTTTTTTTAGGTAAAAGCGAGCGCCGGGTTATAAACTATTCCTGATTTTTCAACCTTGCAAGTCATTATACACATATATAAGTATATCTAGCTCTGTTATGTATCTATATAAACATATAATGATATATCACAGACTAGGAGAAAAAACAACAACACCAAACAACAGTCCAAACAAGCAGAAAGAGAAATACACAAAACAAACGAACACACGAACACACCCACTCAACAGCTGATCGCGAGGCAGGTTTGAGAATGTCAAAGATTTTCTTCTGATTTAACGAAGCACCTTAATGGCATGCTGTGTGAACCATATATTTTCTCGTGCGGTCTTTAATCCATGAATATATGTATGTGTGACTGTGAAAGTATGTGTAATATGTGCATAGATTTGATTAATATAATTTTTTTGAGGTTTATTAAATCGGCACATCCACTGTTTATCATATTTATGTATTTTAAGGAACGTAAATGTAATATAGATAGACAAAACGTTACTTTACAGCAAGATTATCAAAGTGATAACGACTCAAACACAAATGCAATAAAAGACAATGTAATAGATGATGAAATATATAAAAAAGGAATATCCCTTATCAGCATGAGAAAACCTTCAGAATCCTCATTATCTTGAACGACCCAGCCAAGAGGGTATTCGGCGAGGGCATCCCTGTCATGGTGATTAGTTAGTGCTTGGACTGAGGATTTAAGGAATTTAGGGCATATGTACTTTGTTTAATGTCTATGGCATTATAGGTTTCAATGCATTTTAAGAAGGAGTTTTTAATCAGGTGACAAAGCTGTTGGTAAAGGAAGATTGGAGGTACTAAGTCTATAAAATGTGTTACAGATTGAAACATGCGTCATGTAGAAGGAAGTAAAGTGGAATAATTAAGAAAGGAATAGGTATTTAGATGAAGAAATTTATGTGCTGATTTGTTCATACTCTTGTTTATTTTTAGTTTGAACTTATCCTTTCATTCTCTTAAAAAATTATGTCTCTATTTTTCATTTCACTCTTTATTGTCTTATAAGCTTACTGAATATCATCTCTAGGTATTGTGAAAATAAAAAACCCTTGTCTCCTTGGTCTCCCAGTTTCAGATTTCCTCTTGTGAACATCCTAAAGCAAGCAGGCATCAGTTGCATACTTTAGATGTCCTCTCACATATGTCCTTTGAATTCAGGTGGTTCAAAGCTTTCTTTTTATCTCTTACTTTTAATGTTAACTAATTTGCATTAATCCAGATATATTTCATCTTCACCATAACCTTTATCCAATGCCAGAGTCAAATATTTGCTAGTCTCTGATAGATCTGAGAGGCAGGTTTTGCTTTCCATAAACTCATGTTAATCATATTTTTTCTTTCAGCTGCAGTAACAGTTTTAATGTATCTTCTGTAAATTTCACATCATTTGTAGCAAAGTCTGAACCCCTTATATCTGTAATGCCTTGAATATTAGTGCACTTCTATATGTGAATACTGGTTCAGACACGCCAGGAAGTGTGTCAGAGATTTCCTTATCATTTACTGTCTTGGAACCATCCTCCTTTACCAGGTTCCTTAATTGTGGATTCATTTTCTTGTTCATCTTTATAGGCCTATATCCTTAATGTAGCTTTCAGTTGTGTTATTAAATTCCTAAAAGTTTTATTGTATTTCTTTACTTGATTCATATATTTTTTCTGCATTTTCTATTCATTTTTTTATTTTTTTTATGGAACAGTCTTCTTTTCCATTTTCAGTAATTTCTCCAATAAAGTAGAAGTTATCAGTCACACATTTTCTTCCAGTGCTATCCATTCAATTGATTCAAAATCTACCATCATAGCATTATAATTTCCCTTGTAGCAACATTTTTCTTGTTTTCACTCTTTCTGTATCTCACAATACAACATTCTAAAAATCTGTTCTTTGATAAACAGCAGAAGCTTGATGGCTTACATAGATATGGATTTTTTAAAGTAAAAAAAAAAAAGATAAAAAGAAAAAAAAATTGTGTTATGGTAATGAAAGGGATATTCTTCATCCAAATCTTTTGCTATTTCCCTGTCCATCATATCTGTCCTTTTGTCTCTATTATCTACTATTTCAGGGTATTTATTCTCTATTTTGAGGGCTGAATAAGTTTTTTGTAATTATTTTATTCTCAATAAAGTAACAGTATACATTTTTGTTACAGAGCTGCATACAGGGTTGTAAACTGTGTAAATGTTATTGCTTCTGAGGAGACACTTTTCCCATGGTAGTGTTTCATGCAAGAAAAGGCTGTATTGTGCTGCATTACAACACTTGATTTTCTATAGGAATCAAAGGTGAGTAATGTGAAATTGTATTTGTAATATGATTGGTTGAATTTGAAAAAAATGGTAGTTAAGATCACTTTCATCAGCTATTTGTATGTATATGGTCTAATTTAAGTAGGCTCTGTGCTTCTGATGCATCCTCTAGAATGCTGTTGTTTTTAGAAGTATCCTTTGCAATAGGGATAACTAAAAGAAATATTTTTTTGTATTCTAATTTGATTTTTGATATTTCAACAGCACTGTCAAAATGAAACCAAGGCTCTTAGCTGTCACACAAATGACAGCAGTCCAGGATAAAGAGACCAACTTAAAGACATGTATTGATTTAGTACAACGAGCAGCTGCAGCTGGTGCAAAGGTATGAGTAGAACATATGATTTTGATATTGTCCCTTTGAAGACTTAATAGTTTTCAGTAGTATAAACATTTGAAAAGAAATCGATACACTTGTATCGTTATTAAAGTCCAGTTGGAATAATGCCTTCAGTTTTAATTTAAGAATATTTTGGTAGTAGTGTTGTTAGTAGGTATATTTAATGTCTTTAATAGATTAATTTGAATGGAGATTGCTTTTTAGCCTTGAATGAGTTTTATTATATATATATTTTTTACATTATTGGTCTACCACAGTTTTTGTTCTGATAAGACCCTAATAGGAATTAATCTCTAAGCTAAATAAACTTCATACCTTCTTGATATCACCTTCTGCAAACAGATGGTGTTCTTGCCTGAAGCTTGTGACTACATAGCTGAGAGTAAGGAAGCTTCACTCCAACTTGCTGAACCCATCCATGGGCCTCAGGTCACAAGATACAGGGAGCTTGCTGCTTCTTCATCTGTGTGGTTATCATTGGGAGGCATTCACATTAAGGTAGGAAGGACTAAGAGGAGTCTGAATCCAGATAAGGTGCTGCTTGAGAGATTCAATAATTTATGACTAAATTACTCCTTATTTGATCATGAGACATAATTGCACATTAAAATCTGATCTTGCTCTTGTAGATATGGAAATCTAAAAGTTTTGTGTGAGGTATAGAAGTTCCACTTTAAATTTATTTTCCTCATTCAGGAAGAAGGTGATGAGAAGATTAGCAACACACACATCATAATAAATGACAAAGGAGACATTGTTTCCACCTACATAAAGGCCCACTTGTTCAGCGTTCACATTCCTGAGAAGAAGCTTCACTTGGAAGAATCTAATTATGCAACTCGAGGCCAAGCAATTAATGTTCCTGTTTCTACTCCAGTGGGAGAGGTGGCTCTTGGGATAGTATCCTTTATTAAGTCAGATCAGTCAGATGCATACATTTTATTTGTAAGTTAGATGAGACATACAAGTTCTATGTTAGTAAGGCAGAATGAAGGTTAGAAAGGGATAACTCAGAATTATAAAGCTATATACCTAATGTTGTGGAGACTGTATCATTTTTTTCTTAAAAAGATGTTGGTACTTAATATGGTATCGTAATTAGATTTACTGATGATTTCATAGTATTTTTTTTCCAAAAGCATCTTTCTGTCATGTCACCATTTTTTAACAAATGTTTTCCATAACTAGTAACCAGTGTTATGATATGAGATTCCCAGAGATGAGCATGATTCAACGGAAGCTTGGTGCTGAGATCTTGACATTCCCTTCAGCATTTACTGTGACTACAGGCCTGGCTCACTGGGAGGCTTTGTTAAGAGCACGAGCCATAGGTAAGTAGTTTTTGTTGTTGTCTGGAATGCTTAACTTTGGTAATTAAGAAACAGTTTTATATTATTTTCATGCATACTTTGTATTAAGGTGAAGAGTAAGGAAAAGAGATGGATAGACAAACAGTGCAAACAAAAAGAATTTTTAATGATTTGATATTACAGAAAGTCAGTGCTATGTCATAGCTGCAGCTCAGACAGGCCAACATAATAGCAAAAGATCATCATATGGGCATGCCATGGTAAGCATTTGATAGGTTTGAAATGAATGTATGTTTTACAAGAGCTAATATAAACTACAATGCATTATGATACTTATTTTGATAATGATAAAGGAAGTTAGATGGAGTACTATGATTTCTATAATCATTCATTTGATGTATTTCCAAAGAGTGGAATTCATCAAGTACTTTTTCCCATTTTTTGTTTCCATTTTCAAATGTGTTCACTTTTAGATTGTGGATCCTTGGGGAGCTGTGATTGGGCAAGCAAGTGAGGGAACATGTTTCTTTCTTGCGGAAATTAACCTGGACTACCTACGGAAGGTCAGGAAAGAGATGCCTGTCTTGACACACAGGCGGCATGATTTGTACAACCTAGAGCAAGTTACTCCACCTGACACTCCCCAGTAAGAAATTGGAGTTTGTTGTAAATAAAAGAAATAATGTCAAAGATAAGAGAAATTGTCTGACAATATTAGAGAAGAATGATATTATAGGGAAAAGAAACTGATGATATTGGGGTCTTTTAAATGCTTATGTAGAAAATTGACTCTCTTTTGCCAGTTGGAAACTATTTTTATTTATTTTTTTTTACATTTCTTTTTGATTTGTAAAGTGATGACCACATAAGCTAATATATTTTAAACAGATGATCAGAAACTCTTTTAT